TGGGGTGAAAACTGGCTTGGATGAGACGGGCGGCTTAGGAGCAGCAATGGCCGGCTGTCTAGCTCCTGCGGAATACTTAGCACCCGATGCATCCCCCACTTTCTGTATAATTCCTTCTGCAGTCAAGTCCCCATCTGCACGTGCAGTTATTTGAACATGGTAACCCTAGCACCCGTAAGGTCAGCAGCATAGTCTATAAAGGGATAAGTTCTCTCGGAGACGTGTGAGACAAAAGGCCACTAACATGTAGCAATTTTGAGACCGCAGATAAGTGACTTGTAAAATAACCTTTCGTCCGCTCGGGAACGCCCTCCCCACACCATGCAATAAGCACGCCCTTAGGAAGTCCAGTATTTGGGTCGGTGACCTTAACAAAGGCGAACTGCATCTTTCCCTCGGAGAATTCGTCGATAAGATCGGCAAGTTCGCCATCTTGAATATATTCAGTCAGCCCCAGCGTTCCTCATTATCGAGCGTTTGACTGACCTCCGGTACTCTGGACCTTTAAAACACTCTCCTTGTTGCCTGTGTCTTGCTGAAAGGCACTAACAAGCGGTGCTGAAACTGAAAACACTGCCCATTGTCCATAGGTAGGCGAAGAAGAGCTTGTGGGTGGGGAAGAGTTGACAACAGCTTGATAGCTTTTTACTATTGAAGGCCCATTGGATGAAAGGTTAAGGGATGCCATTTTCAAAAAGATTCCACACAAAAGACACGACAATAGCCAAGAAAACGTGTTCCAGTGTTAGTGAAACTTTACAAACTGCAGAATGTGATCAGGAGCTGCATAAATTAGTCCTAGGTTCTGGTCATGAGCAGCGTGGGTTAGAGCATACTTGGACCAAACACAGAAAAGCCTACCGTGTCACCTTCTCCTGGGACGACGTATGGTGGATATAGAAAGGTGAAAAAGAAGTAGCTGACACTTTTGTGCGTTTTGATTGGCGATTATGCTCGCATGAATTCCACCGTATATAGTATGATGTAGAATCTGTGAATGCTAAGAGACTGTGCCTATGGGGTGATTGATCTCTGCCTAATGAGTATCTAGCTGAAGGCGGGCGTTTTGGTCTGTTGTACGGGGCAAAGTTACAGGGTACGTCACACCACTAGCTACTAGTAGTAAGGTACGGAGTCTTCCCTCATACGTACGCAGTACCGTGTACTAAGATGCGACCCGAGATCCAGGAATAGTTCCTTGTTGTATTAGTCTACCAGTACAGAGTACTACTAGTAGGTACTAGTACAGAGTACGTAGTAAATTAGTAACCTTGTGCTAATGCCCCAGAGCCATCCATGCCCACGGTACTCTGTATGTATCTATTTAAAAAGTAAAGTACATGCATGCCAAGACTGGCAGAAGTTACAACTACTACTAGCAGCAAGTAGTACTAGCAAATGCTGAGTCCGAGGCTGGTAATCAAAACCATCACCTGGACGATAAATTGACAGTCTAGACTCACTCGTTATCACATCTTTCCAGGTGAGTGTTACCACATATATTTTCTCATACATTGGGGTTATTTTTGATTTCCAATAGTCTTGACCTTCGCCAACAGTTTCTAACTGCACGTGGTCTTGGTCTTCCTCTCTCCGCTATCTCTTGTTTCTTCACCTTTTTCATTTTCTCTGTGATGTAAGGGAATCAAGACGATTTAACTATTTACAAGTCTACTACCAAATGCGCACAATGCTTTTGCTCAATAGAACGTTTCCCCCTTCTTGACTTTTACTTCTTACTAACACCCATAACAAATTGTGCAGTGTATAGTAAACGCAAGGAATTTGATTAGTAGAGTTTTGCGGTGAGTATTTTGGGCGGAGAGATTACCGACTGATTCAAATCATTCCAACAGCAGCAACACAGCAACATCCGCACAAGTGTGACGAACTCTGGATACGCTCATGGCTTCGTCACAGCTCAACCTTACTCCTAGGCTTGATGCCAATGCCAATGCTGCTGAAACCTCATCAGAAGACGAGGTTTCCCTGCATTCCCACAGTGGGAATCCGCAGGCACGCGTGATTTCTCTCGATGACACTACAGCCGACGAATCTAATTTTGCAGCGTCGACAAAAGTACCCGGTGATATTCTACCAAGGGATAGACTGCTGAAAACTCCTACCTACGACTATGCGTATGAAAAATCAATGAGCCACGCGGAAGCAAAACTTTTCTATCAGCACCATCAATTCGCCTCACGGAGTGCCGACAGTGAGCTTGCCCTGAACCCAATACCTGCAAATTACAATGCAGCCGTCACACAGGCAGAGGGTACGCCAAGCTATACACCAACCATGATGGAACACAATGGCTCCGAAGACCGCACAGTCGGCACCATGTGCCAAACTGATACGATTTCAAAGATTCAACCCGCTGCAAATGCCACTTCGCTGTTTGATCAACGTGACTCGCACTTCGTTCATGAGTACCAGTCCAATGGTTCCGCTGTAAATGGTACTCACGGTATTTTCGGGTTGAATGCAATGCCATCCAGATCCCAGAACCAATTGAGTCAAACTGCATTGGGGGCAGGTAATGGCCATTTTGCTGGTGATGTCTTGGGGACCGCTCAAGGCATGTTGAATACTACTCCGGGCGATGATGCCGTTACATCAGAATTGAACGTAATTTGCCGCAAAATACTGAGGTTACTTGATCGGCGATCCAAATACATCCAGCTATCATTGCAGGGTCCTGGAGATAACCCTAAGGACCATCCCGACTGGAAAGTATACCCTGCGCCGCCAGAACCAGCATGGGAAGGTGACAATGAAACTGGAAAATTTAACGATACCTCCCGACCCGAACAGAAGAGAAGGAAGATGGGACAAGATATCGGGGAAGACTTTGACATGGCCGAGTGCCTACCTCTTCCCGAGGCGTCAGACTGGGTTTTCAAGCTCGATGGGAATAGTGTGTATCAAGTGTACGAAACTTATGACACCGCCTGTCCTAACGAACCTGTTGTACAAATTCCTTCCCTGAGAGATTTCTACATGGATCTCGACGCGGTCATAGATGTATCAACGGACGGGCCCGCAAAGAGTTTCGCATTCAAACGCCTTTCTTACCTGGAGGGAAAGTTTCAACTCTATACTCTGCTAAATGAATATCAAGAAATAGCCGACAGCAAGAAAGTACCTCACAGAGATTTTTACAATGTTCGAAAAGTCGACACGCATGTGCATCACTCTGCTTGTATGAATCAGAAGCACCTCCTTCGTTTCATCAAAAGCAAGATGAAAAAGTCACCCGATGAAGTCGTGTTATTCAGGGATGGCAAACATTTGACGTTGAAGGAGGTTTTTGAGAGTATCAATCTTACAGCTTACGATTTGAGTATCGATACACTCGACATGCACGTATGTAGAGAGAATCAACCCAGTTTCTTGTTCCTGGTTTGCAACTAACAGTCTTACAGGCGCACACAGATTCTTTCCACCGGTTTGACAAGTTTAACCTCAAATATAACCCTGTCGGCGAATCTCGACTGCGAGAAATATTCCTGAAGACAGACAATTATATCAAAGGGCGGTATCTAGCAGAGATAACAAAGGAGGTCATCTCGGACTTGGAGTCCAGCAAATACCAAATGGTAGAGTGGCGTATTTCAATATACGGCAGGTCTATCCAGGAATGGGACAAGCTTGCGGCATGGGTAGTTGACAATAAGTTATTCTCCCCTAATGTTCGCTGGCTTGTCCAAATACCTCGACTTTATGACGTATACAAGTCGAGCGGCATGATGGAAAACTTTGAGCAGGTTATCACCAACGTCTTCCAGCCGCTATTTGAAGTGACAAAGGATCCTAATAGTCATCCAAAGCTCCATTTATTCTTACAGCGTGTGGTCGGTTTTGACAGTGTCGACGACGAGAGCAAAGCAGAGCGACGACTGTATCGAAAATATCCCATCCCAAGAGAATGGAATACGAAACAAAATCCACCTTACAGCTATTGGATATACTTCATGTTTGCAAACATCGCATCCCTGAATATCTGGCGCAAACGGCGAGGGTTCAACACGTTCGTTCTAAGGCCACATTGTGGCGAAGCCGGTGACCCTGATCATCTTGCGGTTGGGTTCCTCTGCTGCCACAGCATCAGCCATGGGATCCTACTCCGGAAAGTCCCTTTACTGCAGTATCTATTCTACCTTGATCAAATTGGGATTGCCATGTCGCCTCTCAGCAACAATGCGCTGTTTCTGACGTATGACAAAAATCCATTTGCTAATTTTTTCAGGCGGGGCTTGAACGTGTCGTTATCTACCGACGATCCATTACAATTTGCGTTCACCAAAGAGCCCTTGATTGAAGAATACTCGGTTGCTGCACAAATTTATAAATTTAGCGCAGTTGACATGTGTGAGCTGGCGAAACACTCAGTCTTACAAAGTGGTTTCGAGCTCGCCCTAAAGCAAAGATGGCTTGGCACGAACTGTTCAGCAGCAGGAGTCTCGGGCAATAATGTTGCAAAGAGCAATGTTCCAGATATTCGAGAGGGGTTTAGGCATGAAACCCTGTTAGGGGAGCTGGCACTGTAAGGATTCCTAGCGCATTTGTCTCCCCCTACCATGTATAAGGACATCTTGAGTAACGAATAACCTACAGGATTGGAAGATATATTGACAGTCTGAGTACTCACTCAAAAGCACTACCCCTCGGAGGCCAGTTGCAACCTAGCCTGACCACGGAAAATGAGAACCACCCAAGCCATTGTAAGTCCCATTACACACCGTCAACCAGTGGTCTATTTCACTCACCAGCGATGATAGCTTTGCGGACGGAGGTTCAGGCTACAGCATCTCTGCAGACTTCTAATACGGTGAATCCTCCCAAATATATACAAAGTCAGTCTGAGACCAACATCGCTGGTGAGGCTTGCTTCCCAAGTCTCAATCCCCACCTCCCGGGTCCTAAATCTGGCGAGGATACTGGACCCGAAACATTACCAGAACAAAAGATATTCCCTGGTATTGTGCACGAAAGGGCTCAGCGGGGTAGTATGCTGACTCGAGCATTGGCCGAAGATGACAAGGATACGAATGACGGGGGTAATGATGTCAACAATTGCCCTAGTCTACCATGAGGTTAATACAGGGCGGTGCCATGCATAGTACTCTATTTTACCTAGGCCGCGGTCCTATAGGTTATGCTGTGTTTCATGACAGGCAATAGTTGCCGCACCCAAAAATCACTGGCCGTTCGTTCGCCATTTGTGGCAATTTAGTAGATCAGAGATTAGTGTTAACTTTTTTTCCCTCGTGGGCACGTTGTAGCTTGAAGTTCTTGTGTTCTACAGTCAAATTTAGGGCTCACCGTCGGCTTAGATGAATATTGGAGGCATTAGAGGAGACAATATAAGTGCAAGGATACCATTCCCAAAAGGCCAATTTGTTGATTGAACCCCTTCCCTCCCTAGTGTATGCCTTTCCAACAACCGTCTCACCCCGCCCAACTACCTCGTCTCTCGCGTACACCCCAGGTCCCATGACTGCTGTTGTCTTCAACCGTAATAGGCTGCAGCCTAGCCCATTCACGTATGTACGAGCGAAGAGCCAGCCAACGCATGCAAACATCGCTAACGGAAGTTTCTGTCTCAGCGTTTTCGACGACGTTAACGTAACCCTTGGCATCTGTGTTCATATCATCTCGCCTGAGTTCTGGTACGGGAATACCAGACACTCTGCTCAGCTCATGGTCATAATAACGAGCAACACAAGGATAACCTAGGGACAAGTAGTTATAAATCTGAGTGACGAACCCATCCTGAAATTGGGGTTCCGTATCACCATCAGAGCTGCCCTGCTCCTTTTCATCAGGTAGTTCTAGCTTCTTTCGGGGCTTGGAATGAGCTTTGTCTTCAAATTTTAACATTCCGTTCAGCCGCGCCCAGCCCTTTCCTTGCACTTGAGAAACAGAAGTTAAAGTACTGCAGGAAAGATGGTCTTGGGGGGTTAGGCAATGCTTGTCACGTTTGCATGTTCCCATCCATAGACCTTCCCTACCACAGTGATCATTGTAGTGAGGAGCCGCATGCCAAAGGCTGGGAAAGTCGTGAATGCCGTCATTGCACTCAGCGAAATGACCGTTCTCACAGAAAGTTGTCTCGGGTGACATGCTTTGGGGGAAAGTAAGGTCATCACCTAACATCGGCGGGCTCTTGACATGTTTTTGTTGGCCTAAGTTGCGGTCTCTTTCCCGACTTTTATCAGGGTTTATATGGTTCTCTGGTTTCCCGCAGGTCATTATTTTTAAAGGAGCAACAGACGAAAGGTGCAAACCCTGTGTGCCAGCCATGGCACGGTCTCGCATTTCTGCCTCCTCTTTATGCTGCCGCATATACTCAAGCTCCCACGACAAGTCCGCAGATGATGCACGTCGATACCTTGTTAGAACATCATCTGCTTCAGGTATCGCTGGCTCTCCTTGGCTGGAACAATCCTCTTCTCTATCAATGGCGAAGTGATCCACCGGCTGATATACCTGTTCATTAGGGAAAGCTGCTAGGGCTTGCTCTTTTAGCTGCCTTTCCGCCGAGCGGGCAGCTAGAGACAGTAAATAACTTGAGAAAAGCTCGTCGCAACTTTCCCTGCGATCTTCTTCCACTCTCGGCCGTATCACTGATTGTCGGGAGGAAGCAGATGGCGACACGGGCAAGGATAAATCCGACACGTCAGATGCTTCACTACCACTAGAAGGGATCACGGGGAGATCAGGAACTCTAAAAGAATGCCGTCTTGTCTCCTGACGCTGCCGAAGCCTGGCGTATGAGAATCGAGACTCATGCGCCAAATGACCTTCAGCATGTACCGGTGTATTGCTGATAGTGCTTCTATGTCTTAAATTCTCAGTTTCAAGTCCCAATCGGTATGTATCGTGAGGTGCATATGGGCTCGAGTCGCGGCGAAATGAGCGGCTGGCCGTTTCCATTAGCTGAGGCACAAATTTTCTCGGACGGAATTGTGGATTGTCTGTGTTAGAGAACGGCTCATTCTGTTTACCACTTAGACAGCTTTGTCGCAGCAATCCTAGCGATTCTGTTGCATGTTTGTGGACATCTGGTGCAGTGCTGCCCGGTAGCTTTATATGTATCAGAGGTTTGTCGGGTGCCGCAGGGCGGTTTGAGTGATGAGACTCTGTGTCTTCTTTGCCTCCCTCTGCAGTGCTAAGGTCCTCTCGTTCGTGTAGGAACTTCCTCCCCACGTATGATACTGGCTGCTGTGTCTTGGATTTGCGTGTAGTGGTTTCAATGGGTTCAGGTAAGAATCTCCTAACTCGCCTGGATGGCTCGGTGGTGTGATATGACATGGTGCCAGTTAAACTGTCCCCTCGTCACTTCCCCCTTCTTCCAGATAGGTATATTATTTATTCTAGGCATTTCCTCGAATAAATATGGTGGCACATGGATTCTTCTTTTATTGTACCTACCTTTCGCCTATTTATTCCCTTGTTTAAGCCCGGCCTATTGCCACCATCTCAGAATATAGTAGTAGTTCGATGAATAACTAGTGGTAAATTCACCAAGAGCGGGTTTATAATACTTGTAAGATCGCGGGTGTGCATTTATCTTGGATTAGGAAAAGAAGGCCTAGAATAATAATACCAGATGGATACCCAAAGAGAACTTGTTAAACGTTTTCTTACCGCTGTGAGCAGGTTAGGATGGGCGAGTATCTATCATGTGGTTATCAGGTTATCTATCTACTCCGTGGTGACAACTCACATCTCATGTGAAACGGGCGGGGGCTAATGGCCATGCTATGTCCTAGATTGCCCGACTACTGCAGGAATCAGACAACAAACCCTCCGTATTGAGAACCACCATACATCTGAAGATTCGAATCTGCCAGGATACAATAATGCAGTTTCTTCAAAGAGTGGCTTTTGATAGCTTCAAGAATTACTAGGTACGCTGGCCACGCTGGGGAGCAGGTCTCACAATAATGATCCAATGGGCTTCGCGTATTAAATATCATACCAATACCAGGTTGCAGACAGGGGCAGCATCGCTAAGCAAGGTCTGCTTGGACGGTAAGAAGAAACCCCTCTTCTAATTTCGGCCCCAGGGAGACGTAGGGTACGTAGTCTAAATTCCGTTTTGGCAACTTCAGTCATTTCCGCAAACGCTTGTGAATTTCTATATATACTTTTAAATTTTTAAGTATAAGAATAATAGAAATTAATTTCAATGTTAAAGAGTTAATTATATTTATAATTAAATATAATAGATTAATTTCTAAATTAAATTTATAGTATTAATTAATATTTTTAAAATTATTTATTTTTATAGTTAATATTTTTTTAATTTATACTATAATTAATTATAATATATTACTATATTTTATTGTACTTTTAATCTATACT